ATCCGTGTTAAACAATGGCTTATGTGAGTCCATAAGGCATTTTAACATTTGATAAGAGAGCTATCCAATGATAGCTCGTGGTACACTAGAACAATCGTAAGGCAAACATTGTTATAGTGTAAGGCATTTTGTAAGTATTGTAGTTTCTTAATAGATACTTATTTTCGCAGCCAGATTGTATATTTTCTCAATTTTTCTGACTTCTCAATAAATATCTCATTATCAAAGACCAATACATTTCGTTAGGAAGCCTTCTATAAACCCTCCTCCATTTCAAGAAAACTCCAATAATATGCTTATCGGCGTGGATAATCAACCACCACCAGCATATGAAGAAGAAGATCATTCATTGTCGATGTCACCTCTTAGAATTGATGATAGTAATGAGAGGGGCAGAAGTAAGTCAGGATCGCAATTTGCTGGGTTGACCATTAATCTTCCGCATGAGGGCCCCGTGAAGAACCTATTGAGCCAGCAGCTTAGGAAACCTGAAAGTGAACGTTCTAGAAAGGTTGAAAGCGAAGATATTTCTGATTCTGTGTCATCTGTAAAGCCTCCAACTATGAGTCCAATTAGAAATGCTGTGAGCCCTAGACGCCCTACAGATACAACGAGGCATTCGAATTCTAGTGCAGCATCTAGCGATACAGGATTAACTAACTCTATTATAAGCTCTTCCCGTTCTAATGAAACTAAGAATACGCAAGATCAAGATGAAATCTATGAAGATTCAAATGTGAGTAATATTAATGATGAGAACGAGAAAGCTGTTTCCACAAGAAATTTTAGCGATGAAGGTTATGCTCCCGAAGCGCCGTTGGTAGGTCAATTCGAAAACGGGGATAAGTCGCGTCAATCGTCTATTCTGTCATTAACATCATCGCTTGAGATGCCAGTTGAGCTGACAATTCCCTTACTAAACCAATCTAGCTCGTCATTATTGGCTCCTCACTCAAATTTCAAAAGTATGAACTCATCGATTAATTCATTAAATGAAAGAAGAACGAGCAATGTGCACGAAATTACTAAAATTACCGACTTGGTAGATGGTATTAATTTCAACGATGAGTTATACAGAGTGAATGATAACTTGTCTCACTTAAGGAACCCAAGAATCAAAAAGCACTATCAGAATGATGATCAAATGGTAGAGACTGAAATAAATAAACAAAGGCAAAAGTCATTTGGTGTTGTTAACGATAACAATGCTGATATGAGAACGAGAATGAGTTCATCAAGTGAATCGACGGTTCACGAAAATGATACAGCAAACGATGTCCCTAACAGTGGTCCGCATTCTAATCCGAATAGTTTAATCAAACCTCTTTCAGGTTCTCCAGCCCCAGGACTTAATTATGGATTCATTATAGAATAGTTTATCTAAAATATACATTGATTGGTTATATCTTAACTTCCAATATTAATTACTGATTATTAAAAAAGACGAATAACCCCTTAGAAAGGAAATTCATATATACTTCTGTTGAGAAAATCTTTCATCAAGATTTTTCTATTAAATCTACATATATTGGAAGTTACTCAATATATTTTAAATATACTACTTCAAATATATACTTAAAAGAATATCAAAGTCAGATAAAAACTATTTATCCTTTTCAGATAGTTCCTCTAACCATTCGAATAATACCCCCAAATCTTTGGTAGCTAAATCTTCCCTTTCACAGGCTTTGTCGTACCATTTCTTACCAACTTCACCCAAGAACAAAAACCTGTTGTTACTCTGAGCACTCTGGGTGGCTAAAACCAAATCTTTTCTTGTCAATTTAGTGATAAATCCTCCTTTAAAATCACGGTCTGCTGGTAAATCGTTTTCCTTTGGATATACTCCTTTAATAGGACAATTATCGACCGAAGCCCACGATTTACCAGTGGATACTGATACCAACTTAGCATAATTCTTCAAATCCAATCCAAATGATTTCGCCAATTGGAACGAATCGGCTACTGCTAAGTTCGTGACTGCCAACAAATAGTTGTTAGATAATTTTGCAGCTAAACCAGTACCATGGGTCTTTCCACATGGAAAAATGTTTGTACCCATCTTGCTTAACAAAGTGGTTAAAGAGGGAGAAATATCATCATGGGTCTCTCTTGATAACATGAAAGATAATGTACCCTTACGAGCACCTGCGACCCCCCCTGAAACAGGGGCATCAATAAAGTCAAAATGAGGAATCTGTTGCTTCACATACTTATGCACCTCAATAGACGTAGGAATGTCGATTGTAGACGAGTCTAGTAATGTTGTACTCACCTTCGAAATGTCAGTAGTGCACTTTTGATAGTTTTGCACCAATTCCTCAACTACCGATTGAACATGTTTTCCTTCTGGCACCATCGTCATTATATAATCCAATTGGGAGTCCACCTTATGAACAAAGTCTGATACCGAATCCAAAGGAATTAATAATTGTTTATTGCCTGGGGTCACCTCAGTGACCGTTTTCACAAATTTCTTCGAGTTTTCTGGATTCAAATCGTAAACATACAACTTGTCATCAGGCTGAAGCTTGTTGTAGATATGTCTGCCCATATGTTGTCCCATTTCTCCGAGCCCAATGAATCCGTAATTTGTCAATCTCAACAGCGACGTGGAAAAGCACCGAATGCCTTGTTTAACTGAAATCATCTTCTATTTTTCTATGCTATACCAACAATAATTCGATAGAATACCAATAAACCACTAACCAGAAATCTCTTATATAAGTACTGGTCGATATATACCAATTTTGAGATTAATACTTTATCTTATAAGTGTACAAAGTGCCCTATATATAGTTTCTCCATATATAACCCCGGATTTTCCCCTCCTTTGTTTCTATGATTTCCACAATGACAATTCATCGCTTAAACGGGTTCTCAAATAAATTGCGAAACACTACTCTATGACAATCGTCCCATGTCCGCATTGAGGATGTAATTCCATGGGTATTACTTGGTGGTTGGTTGTGCATCCTATTTCCCCATATGTGAACGAATTTGCTGCTACAAAGGGCAAGCTGACACGATCGTAGGGCACAACATAGATTATTTCGGAGTACTACAAATGCAAAGCCTAAAACCGCCTGTGGGAAAATAATGTTGTGTTTTTATGGGAACTAGAAACGTTGGAACATACTAAATAGTGATTCTGTATTACTTGTGCTATTTGCAGAAGCTTTAGAGAGTGCAATTATTCGCATGGGTAAAGCTTTCATACCCGACCGGTACCGGTAGTGAATGTGGGGACACAAAAGCAGTGTCCTGGACCCCTCACAGGCAGTTATGCTTTTGATGTCATTATGTCGTTATATCGCGCGTCGCGAGTAACATGTCGTATGCCGTTGATCAACGAGGCCCAATTGCGACCCAGTCCGAGGGTGCAGGGGGTGCATGTCGCATATTGAGAAGTCGAGTACGACATTTTAGCAATGATATCGGTCTCTATCTAGAAATGCCGAACATAGTAGATTGGAGATAAGCGGCGGGTAAGACTAATGTGGAAAAATATACATGATGATACGTCTACGTGGAGGGTTTTATAAAGTTTAAGTTTTGGCACTCTGAGGCAAGATGGAAATTTAGCTTTAAGATTCCGGTTACATAAACGCCGGTGCCACATACAGCTTCTATCAATTCAATCAATATGTCGGAAAGTTCATCGCAGACCAAAATCAAAACTAATTATAATCTCCCCAAGCCTACACCAGCTTATTATCCACACGAGGGATCTCCCATATATGCTGATAAAAAACTATATAAGGCCATTGGAGAATGCGAAAAAACACTTGTGGAACAGCATTTATGCCAACCCCGTAGGGGCATAGCTGTAAAGATCCCTGCTAAATCAGTGTTTAGAATCACTACTCCAGAAGGTCCGCAGGTTTGTGATTTGAACATCTGGAATATGCACAATCCCAGGGAGAGGTTTTGGGCTGCTCGTAGTCGTCAATTGCACTCAGCGCATGTATCTACGTATGACAGACTTTGGTCCAATCTTCCATATCTTCGTCCATTGGTTACCATTACTGGAGATTCAATGCTGGATAGGGGCCAGGATGAATGGGGTGGAAGATTACACGACTTGAACGGAACACGATGTGACCCTTATATCGACCAATTAATAAGTGGACAAGAAAATAATTTCCACTGTCATTCGAATTTACTTCGGGCAGTTTTACCACATGGATTGAATGAATTTGATATCCATGATGTCATAAATGTATTCCAAGTGACAGGTTTGAATGAATATGATCAGTATTTCATGGAAGCATGTCCCGCTAAAGCAGGTGATTATTTCGAGTGCTTTGCCGAGCAAGATTTACTTATTGCCATCAGTGCTTGTCCTGGGGGAGATTTGTCGCAATGGGGTTGGGGTGAAGACGGCGAAAACTTAGAAGATCTGAAGATGGTCGAATGTTGCAGGCCCTTAGGAATTGAGGTATACAAAATTAACGACGAACAGGTCTTGAAAGATTGGGTGCCCCCAAAATTTGTCGAGTACAAAGGCAATCATGGCTTACAAAATCCTGCTTAGTACCTTCTAATATGTCTATTCATCTATTTACACTACATAGTACCGTCTATAGATTGGCCGACCCAATCACTAATCATATCATTTGTAATAAAGCCACTAACATTACTTCCAGTGTATTGTAACTCTTGTGTTTCAACTATTTGCTGAAGGAACTCAAAACTTTCCTCGATCTTTTCTGTAGAAATCATACGATTGGTTATATCGTCGAATGACAATTCAAATTTATCTATAATTGCTCCTTTTTTTATATGAAATTTAATTGTAAAACCAAACTTTTCATTGTATAATTCGTGACTGAACTTAGGCGTTGATCCATATTTCCATTTCCATTCTTTTAATTCATTAGCTAAGTCATAGATTTTTTGGTTTAACTCAGTCTTTTCATCTATAGTAATGACCCTTGCATAATCAGAATATGCCTCAACAAAATCAGTAAGGTTAAATAGTTCATTGTGATCGTACTCTTCTGGACAAGATGGGTCTTTTTCTTTTTGACTGCTATCTTCTTTTTCAACCATACCGTAATTCTTGCTAAAACCGTCACTTACTAAATCGATGAACTTTTGGTGGTCCAATTCTAAATTAATAACCTTGGATTTAACTGAGTTAATTGATGCCATAGAATCAACAATGCCTAGCTTGCGTTCATCTCTCGTTAATAATTTACTCAAAACATCTAACTTCAGATTCAACAACATAGTACCATGATGGTACGATTTACCTTTTGATAACTTGTAAGCTGATCCACTAACTTTATAAGCAATTCCATCGGACTGTGTCACTGTAGTTATATCTCCCCTTTCGTTAACTTTCAACTTATACTTAAGGTCCGGGTACTTATTCACCGAGTCTCTTATTATTTCAGCGAACTTAAACCTATCAAATTTAGATTTAGTGGTCATGAATGAATAATTTATATTACCAAGGTCGTGAACAACAGTTCCACCACCTGACCGTCTTCTTACTAGAGGAATGTGTAACGAGTTTAATAGCGGTAAGTTAACTTCCTTCCAAGGGTTCTGATTTTTACCAATGACAGCACAGGGCCAGTTTTTATAAAACATTAACCTGTTGTAATTAGCTTTGGAGTCGTCATCAGGAATTGGCATATCATTGTAGATACTATCTTCTATTGCAAGATTTAAGTACGGATCCTTTAGTTTCGATACAAATATCACTGGTTCTCTCAATTCAGTATACTTTTGTAATTCAGCATTCTCTTCCGGTGTTTCTTGTTCTAATTCCATGTAAAGCTTTTGTTTATATTCTAGAATATCTTTAGATTCTTTGTAATGTTGAAAGTCCAGTAAGTTGAAATCATCGGCATCGGCTGGATCCAAATCATCTTGAAAAGGGACATGAATGTTTCCAAAACACCTCCGACCCTGTAAACGAGTACCTAAAGTATGTATATGGCTTAGTGATCGTCTTATCATATTATCTACTCTCTGAATGAAATCGGATAATTTTGGTAACCATACTTCAAGCAGCGATATGGGTAGAAAAAAAAATTATTATCGAAAAATTATTAATTATCATTACATTCCATATAGACTTCAGATGAATAAGAATAACGCATTGGAAAAGCATTTGTTGACAAGATGCTATTCTTCTGAAGCTAGAATTGAAGAATTATTATCTACAAGATATTCAATAACTGGAGATCAAAAGCCATCGCTTTTGCTAGTACCCACAGGACAGGATGCTGAAAGCAGTAAAACAAAGGCTCTATTACACCAAGAGAAGACCAAGACTATTGATGAATCTCATAAGACCAAAAAATATAATACTCGAATGGAGTTAAAGAATTATATTAAAAATACTCTTAATAATCAACATAAGGTTATTAAAAAAATTCAAGCATACAATAGATTAACCAAGCAGAATGCTAATAAAAAGCCTTTTCCAATATTAAAGCTATTAGAACACTACAGTATCCCAATGTATGAAGAATTTATACCTATTAGCAACTTATGGCAAGACTACATGCAAAATTTGTTATTTCCATCGGCCAATAACAAACTTCCAAGTTTAATTTCTATCTTGCCTAAACTATCCAGTGCTGATTTTCACGGCTGCTTACTAACCGTATTAAAGTCTACCAACAGATTACTAGTTGGTGTGAGAGGAATAGTTGTATGGGATACCCAGCATTCGTTTATATTATGCGTACCTAGAACTAACGATTCTAAAGAATGGAATGAAAGTAAACAAGTTTTCACTCCTTCAGAACAAGTAGGTGGATTGAGGATCATTCCAAAAAAAGGATGTTTGTTTGGGTTTGACGTTATTTTGCCAAGTGGCGAAGGACAAGAAGAAGAGGATGAATGCATAGGCTTTACTGTTATAGGATCTAGATTCGAATTTAGATCAGTGGATCGTTCTGGTAAAAAGTTCAAGAACCACAATGTTGATGATATTTTGTAATAAGATGTATATTAGATGTATAATACTAAGTAAATTTCGATTTTAATTTATTTAATTGAAGAATTAATAATTCATCATGATGTATGCTTAAAGACTTCAAGATATCCTGAATATCGCTCAAAATCTTCTTCTTCGATTCTTGCCCAAAATTCTTTGGATCTTGATCTAGTAATACATTTACTTCCTTTACCAACTGTTGCTTATTAATATTTTCAGGAAATTCACCAATTTCTGATCTCTCAGCTATACCGTTTATACTAGAGGTCGAATCATCGTCATTATCAAAGTCCTTTTGTATATTTTTAACGACTGTTTCGAATTCTGTATTAAATCGTTGCACATCCTCATTTATAAATTTTGAAAGGTCTGTGAATATGTTATCAAGGTCTTGATCATTAATTTCTTTCGTTTTGGTTATAGGTTCATTAGGCGTATTCGTGAAAATTCCAAGACCATCCAATACATTCTCTTTGGCCACAGACTTAGGCTTTGACAAATCACCTAATATTTGACTCAATTTAATCAATTCGTAGTAATTGTCATATATGATAGATTTCTTAGCCAGATCGTGTGAATTTAGTTTATTTGTTATAGAATTTCGTAACTTGAGTATTTCTTCAACTGGTGTATTTTTCATAAACTTCGATAATTCTTCAGCATTATTGAAATTAACATCATGGATTGCCTCTGACGAAGATATCAGAGGCTTCAAAGTCAGCTTTTCTATATTTGTATCTTGTGACTCTTGATGGTGAATATTATAAAAGTCTTGCAATGCTTTCCTTCTTGACAGCACTTGGCGAGATGTCGTTGATGAAATACGGGGTGATTCAACTTGGCTTGGTAAGGGCGACGAGGGGTGTGATGGTGTAGATAATTGTTGTCGGCTGGAAGCCGATGAAGGCTTCTTATACGATAATACAGGTGTATCTGACATTATTGAAAGTGAGTCTTTTGTATGTAATTTTTTTGATCTTATTCATATATCGCGAGGAAGTGAATATTATGTACGAAAGGAATTATTCAATTACAATTAATACTTATCTAGTAAAAGAGGAGGTCATATGACAAATGTAATAAATTAAGATGCACAAGATGTATTATCAATGATACTTTTTTTTACTATAATTACAGAGACGAAAAAAATTAATGCACTATTCATAAATCCAAGAGTCAATGTAAATCAAATCTGGATCTTGTTCAGCACTTGGTTCAATCACAGAAAAATGATCAAATATAGAGAAAGATTGATTTGTTACTAACTGTTTGACTGAAGGATCCACTAATTTGTCAAATGATTCGTCGGCGTAAGCTCTACCGTATCCAGCTTCTAAAACACTCTGCCATGTAGCTTTAAATGTATCATTTGTATGTTTAATAAGTTCTAACTTGTCATCGTAGATTAAAACATCACATAAGGATCTGACATCGTTAATTGCCAATTCAATATTAGTGATATTATTTGAGGTGATGAATTCTATAATTGTGTCCAAATTGACGAATCCAGTATGATTTGAAGGGTACGAAGATTGGTAAATGTTATTATTGGAAGATGGAGTTTGGAATGCAGTAGGGTAAGTTTTCGAAGCCACAAATCTCCAAATGACAGTCAATAAGGAATCAATAAATTCCGTATCTAATTCTGAGTCTGTAAACCAAGGACCACCAGTGACTTCTATAGATGGCTGTAAGTTATACAACATGTAAATCTTTCTTGTTGGATGCTTAACGGACTTAATGGACTTGATATATCTTTGATTTTCTAATGCTTTCAAGCATCTCACAACAATATGTTGGTGCAAGTTTGTTTTTGCTTTTATGGTTTTGGTCCAAATACCTTCACGACCAGAAGCCTCAATGTAAGAGTAGATCATAGCTTCATCTTCTGACATCGACGTGATTTTAGATGCTTCACTCAATGAAATGGCCTGAAATTTCAATTCATCGCCTTGTTTTACCAATTTAACTAATTTTTTATTGATTAGCTCCTGAGCAATCATCAAGAGATCAGCAGGGACTGAAATTTGAAGAAATTGCTGTAGCTGCTCTTGGTTGAATAATGTTGATGATGGAAATTCCAACATCTTGTTATGCAATGTACGAGCCTTTTCTGATAAATCTGCCATTATGATATGTTTTTCCAGTCAGTTCACAAGATCTTGTTTTAATATAATACAAAAGATAGTAATGGTTTAAATAGCTCTAAGGCTCTCCGATAATGATCCCTTCAATGTTGATTTGACTTCTAGTACTGCAACTTTCATAGATGGGATCAACTACAATAATTTTTTTTTTCAGTTGTGCGTAAGTGAAGAGTTTACGATGTCACAAAATATTGAATACATAGTCTCTTACTCCGATACGTATTAAGCTCTAAGATCAAAAGAGACCATCCAGAATGAGTTTCAAGAAGTTAGATCGAAGTTTAATACGATCTTTGGACGAATTAGAGGATGATAATGTGGAAAACCAAACGCCACGGGATACACATTCATCGTCACCAGCACTATTCAAGAAAAAGGGTCTTAAAGGGAAAAAACTGAGCCAAAGAAAAACAACGCTTGAATTTGATGCCAGTGACGAAGAAGTAGAACAGATGGCTTCCACTTCTATCAAAAGAAACAAATTTAGGTCACCGCATTCGTTTATTGCAAAACGTCAATCTTCTAAAATGAATTTTGATCACAAACCAATAACGGAGATGAGAAAAGACGAAGTAAAATATACTCTGGATCACCTTAAGGAGCTCCATAATGATCAGAAAGAAAAGAATGAAGATTTAATGGATATTGACGAGCCGGTGGTTGTAGAAACCACTCCGGCCGAGATACTACAAGAATTCCATAAAAACACACCTATGGATTATGAAAATAACGATGACGAAAATATAATACCAATTAAAGAGTACGGTAGTGATGATAATGACAATTATAATGACTTCTCTGGGCCTAAAACCAACAGTTTTCCAGTTGATGATGACTTAATGCCCGATAATGATGACATATTTATTGATGATGGGCCGCTCAATCTAGCAGCTTCCATGAAGACTCAAAAACCTGACATAGATGAGGACCTATACGACATGGAGTTGCCTATGGGAGAGGAAGAATCTGAAATTGAATTAGATGTATCGAAACCTACAGTTTCTAAAATTCTCGAACCAAGAGGAATTTCAGAACACCTTAAAATCTTAAAAGAGTCTATAGAGAAACTTCAAGTATCAAGACTCGAAACAGAATCACAATATACTAAAACCAAAACTGAGATTCAAAGTATAAGCCGAAATAAAGAAGCTTTACTACAAGAATTGATTCATTAGGCATTTCACTTAGGAATCAAATTTACGCTTATAGCAGTAAATATTGGTCTAATGATCCATCACCGCGCTTAGTTAAAAATTACTGGATTAGTGAGTCATTATAGATTTTTCATATATATATATATATATATATAAAGTAACGAATTGAACCATTGAATAGTATATTATACAATTATGATACTGATTCCAATAAAGACAATGTTCGCAAAAAGATCATTATCGAGTTCTGCCTTTCTTAAATCAAAACCAAGACATTTGGTGAATACCATACAACTTTCTAATGAAGAGTTGGCATCATTAGTCGGTAAAGCTGAAGCTTTTAAGAAGCAAGTTAGATCAGGTAACCCTGCACCTGTTGAACAACATCAGAAGCTTTTAGGAAAACTTGTTGCTTTACTTTTTTCCAAAAGATCAACCAGAACAAGAATTAGTACTGAAGGTGCCGCAGCATACTTTGGAGCACAGCCAATGTTCTTAGGGAAAGATGATATCCAGTTGGGAGTCAATGAATCAACTTATGACACAACCAAGGTTATTTCGTCCATGACTTCGTGTATTTTTGCCAGAGTTAATAGTCATCAAGAAATACTCGAATTGTGTGAGCATTCTTCTGTTCCCATCATTAACTCATTATGTGACATGTACCACCCATTACAAGCCATCACTGACATTTTAACTATAAAAGAAGCATTTGGAAAGACTGAAGGGTTGAAGTTAGCCTGGGTAGGTGACTCCAATAATGTCATCAATGATTTGGCCATTGCATCTTTAAGATCAGGCATATCGGTTGCCGTTTCGATCCCAAAGGATATCGAATTTGACCCTGAAGTCAGCAAGGCTGCCTCAGAGATAGCCAGTGAGAATGGTTTATCATTTGACATAGTCCATGAGCCATCGAAGGCCATCAATAATTCTAATGTTATCGTCACCGACACCTGGATCTCAATGGGCCAAGAAGCCGAAAAACAAGCCAAATTATTACAGTTTGATGGTTACCAGATTACCCAGAGTATGATTTCTCAGGGTAATGCATCTCCTGATTGGAAATTCATGCATTGCTTACCAAGACATGCAGAAGAAGTAGCAGATGATGTATTCTACAGCGAAAACTCCTTGGTATTCGAGGAAGCTGAAAATAGATTATATGCTGCAATGGCTGTTATTGAAGCATTTGTTATTAACAAGGGTGATTTACTTAAATAAATAATTCCCAAATAATCACAAGTATGAGAAGTATTTCATTTCTTTGTAGACAACGCCAAAAGAGCCGTTTAACTTTTTAATTACATTCTTTCTAATACTTAATTATCCCTACATAGCTATTGTACCATGTCTATACCCGTGTAACCTAGATTATTCAATCATGTATAACAATTGCCTTATAAAGCTTCTGTCGCACTTAACTGCTAAATGCGGACTCTTGCTCCACAGTTTAAATTTAGTATATAAATGATCATATCCCATGGTCCATACACTATTTAGTATACTTCAAGAATAAAATAAAGTAGGATAATTCAAAAATGACATCAGTATTCGTTTCAGGTGCTACAGGATACATTGCACAACACATTGTGAAAACATTACTCGAAAATAATTACAAAGTTGTGGGATCTGTGAGATCTACAGAAAAGGGAGAGAAATTAAAGAGGCTCTTACAATCGACCAATTTCAATTACGAGGTTGTAAATGATATTCAGAAAGAAGGAAGCTTCAATGAGGCGTTGAAGAGGCATCCAGAAGTAACTGTATTTTTACATACAGCATCCCCATTCCATTTTAAAGCTAAGGATGTGGAAAAGGAATTATTAATCCCAGCGGTCAATGGAACCAAGAATGCTTTGAAGGCGATAAAGGAATATGCACCCCAGGTAAAGCGTGTAGTAGTGACATCGTCTATTGCTGCTATTAAGGTAGATACCAAGGAAAATGATAGCACATTTGTCATGACGGAACAGACATGGAACCCAATTACATGGGAAGAAGCACTCTCTAATCCTGTTTCAGGGTACCGTGGGTCTAAAACGTTTGCAGAGAAGGCAGCATGGGAGTTTATGGAAACAGAGAAGCCACTGTTTATATTATCAACAGTCAATCCGGTGCTTGTGTTTGGTCCACAAGCATTTGACACTGAAGTCAAGGAGACTTTGAACACATCGGCAGAGGTCATCAACACTTTATTGAAGTTGAAACCAGACGACCCAATTCCTCCTCTGAATAATGCGTTTATCGATGTTCGGGATGTAGCAAAAGCACACGTGGTGGCGTTTGAAAGTGACGATGCTGCAAACCAGAGATTGTTACTTAGTGAATCGAGGTACTCTTCGCAATTGGTGTTAGATCTTATCCACAAGAATTTCCCTCAGTTCAAGTCACGGATTCCTGTTGGAACCCCAGGAATCTATCCTGACACTTCCAAACTCTCGAAAACGGATAATTCTAAAACTAGGGCTATAGTTGGCTTCCCCTTCATTCCTCTCGAGAAGTCTGTGATTGATACGGTTCAACAAATAGTGAAGGCTGAGAAGCTCCAATGAGCCTAGGGCGCATATCTATATAACCCACTTTTTGCCCCAAACAAACCCTATTCTACTCTATCAAGTCTCTTGCGAATATATTATTTTCACATATGCACACGATCTTCCGTTGCACCTGTATCATATTCATGTGCCTGAAATGTTCCCGCTTATAGTGTATTTGAAACTCGTGTGCGTTACCCAGCCACGATACATACCGTTTTTTTTTCCTCTTCGAGCTCATTTTACTTAGGGTCAACGAACTTCATGTCTTGGAATCTGGTGTTCTACTTCCTAGGCTACATGTCGTTTAGTGAATATGTTGTATAATAAATTTAACATCTAGTGAAGGAAAAGACAGTATACTTCTTTTCGTGCACATAATCGCATGCATATGTGCAATTACATGGCCACCAGAATATGGTTAGCGAGCCTTTTTAGGTTAATTGCTGTTGAGCTGTCAAATGACAATAAAGGTATAAGCCTTGGAATTCTTTTAATTGGCCGCAAGATTCCAGACTGATGGAGTCTATTTAGGTTGCGATTATTTTCCTGATTGGTAAGCACTGGTGCAAAAAATTGCCTACTGCAATCGTGTATAGCCACCTCTAAGTAAATAATAACCATGAGACTCCTGATTCTTGAGCAACAAAACAATTAAATATCAATATTATGCCGTTATTTGTAAGAGTTGAATTTTAGTTGTTTTTTATAGTTAGAATCGAAGAATAAATTAATATTGGTGATCACGATGAAAGTCACTATGGGATTTTACGTGGGCCGCAGGCGAGTGCTAATGTATACTATGCTTGTTTTGACGGTTTTGGGATTTGTATGGACGATACGGGATGTCGGTTTGGATGGTAATAAGGTTGTGGATAGAGTACTGGGAATATATAGGTCAAGGCTACCAATATCCAATTTTGCTACCAACGAGTCATTGGTCATATTTCCCCGTGGGTTCGAGTTGAGAGCATCCAGAGATTTGACTGACTATTACAGAAAGCATTTCAATCCTGATAAGAACAGGGAGTTTAATTCTGTTACATTTAATGGACCACCCTCAGCTTTGACGGAAGCGGTCAAGCATGTCGACTACCATAATCATGAGATGACGATGTATGATACGACGAAGGATATTTCGAGTGACTTAAAGAAATGTGAGTCAGAGATTAGTTCCAAATTTAAAGTTGATATCAGTAAAGCTAAAAAGCATGATGATTCTCTCTCTAAGGTTGTGAAGAAGTTGGTTTACCAGTTGGAAAATGATGATGCTATGAAAGAACTTCGGAGTTTTTTCAAGAACGATTTGAAAAAACAAATAGAAGATGAAACTGTAGATCAGCATTGGTATAAATTTGCAGGAACCTCTGTGTGGCTACAACAATATGGTGTACATTTCATGATATCGAGAATGTTGTACAGTCCTTCCGGAAAGAAGAATGATCCTGTTATGAGTTTGATATTTGCTCAGGTGTATAATGAACGGTGGGAGGAATTGGACGATGTGGAGTTAGTTGTTCCTACTATCGATCCAGTAACCAACGAGAGAATCTATAAAAATTTACAATTCCCTAGCTTTTTGCCTATTCCATTCTATCATCAGTCTTCTTACGTGAACAAGAGATGGTATGGACCTGAAGATGCCAGAATGTTACTTGTTAAAAACGATGACGGTTTGGATGAACCATTGATAGTATTTAATGCTTATCATCGTAAGGTTAATAAGCAAGAAAACATTAACGAAGCGGCATCAAAAGTATCACACGAATTCTACAGATCTATGTTTATGGGATGGCCTTTTAGATTTCAGCATGGTAAAGAAAATGTTGATGGTATTTCAAATGCCGCAACAGACGATAAGATATATAATAAAGTTGTTGAATTGAGGAGAGACGGTACTGAAAGATTGAAAGTGCAAAAGAATTGGACCCCTTTTATTAGTGTCAAAGATCGTTTCGATGATGGACCTGATGAAAGTATCTATTTTGTTTATAGATGGCAGAACTTAGAAATCTTGAAATGCCAATTAACCGACTTTACCCACGATTATGCCAAGTGCAAATTCGAGTACAAACGGGAGGAAAAGTTACTGCCAGATGAACCAGTCGGTGCCTTGAGAGGTGGTACAGAAATGATAAGTTTAAATAAAATATCACCATCCGTTAATGCAGCTATTCATCCAAATAAGGAAGTATGGATTGGTTTTGCGAGGGCTCACCTAGTGAAGTGTGGTTGTGGTAAGGACATGTATCGCCCAAATTTAGCACTTATTACTAGGGAGGATAACACATTTAAGATTTCTCAATTGAGTTCTTTCTTCTCCTTAGATATGGATGTCACTGGATGGTCAAATCCTGATGTTTTATGTCATCCTAAGGAACCAAATGCATTAATTCCAAATGGGATTTCTAACTGGGATATTTCTACTATTAAGTTGGGTAAAAAGTACGTCACTGAGGACTTCGTCACGTTATCATTATCCGTCGCTGATGCCACGGTACATACTATACAAATTAAAAATTTGTTGCAGAACGTTCTCTCTGAAACTTCTGCGCTTACTTACAACCAAACATTAGGTTACTCTAATGATGTCGTTGAATGTTCTCTTAAAGCTTCCAACGAATTCTGTAATGCATACGGTCAAGAACAATTTAAACTTGGAAAAGTTCCAATTTAGAATATATAAATTTATAGAATAGCATGAAATTAATTTATAGTGTAATTTTATTTTGCATCAAATAATTTTTTTTCGTCATATCAGCGATGGTTGAAAAATTTATTTATTGTAATTACTACCAAAGCACTGAGATTTATAACAAAACTATAATATGGGTTCCCTGTACTCTCCCAAGGGTAGTTTAAATTCCATATCATCTGTTAATGAAAGCTTATTTCAAGTTTTACAACATTATGGGCCAGTTACAGCTTTGAAAATTCATGCTAACTATGTGATATGTGGCTACGGGTCAATCTTGAAAATATTCAAAATTGAAAATAATTGTGTTCACAAATTGGTTTACAGCCAGCAAATATTAAATAGAAACAAGGTTAATAATATCTCTGTCAGTCCTTGTGGTACAAGAATAATTTTGTCTGGTGGTAGATCATTTATTGTGTTGAATATGAACGATCTTTTAAATACCACCAATGCATCGTCTAAGGAAAAAGCAATCAATGAATGGATTACAAGTACCGAATTTTTAGATAAGGATACTGTTTTGTTATTAACATCCCACAATATTGTTTATAAAATCGACGTTTCAGACATGGAAACCTGCCAAAATTTTGAAATTGTTGATAAGATTCATTGTAACGAAAAGTCTATTTTATATACTGGTTCTATACGCATTATTGGTCAAAAGGCTTTAATAGCTGCAGGTACTGTAATGGGAGGTGTAATAATCTGGGATTTAGATTCTCGTCAAATACTTCATAATTTGACAGACCACGAAGGCTCTATATTCGGAGTCAAAATAGACTCCGAGGGAAAATACATTATTTCATGCTCTGATGATAGATCAATCAAGTTGTATGACTTTCAAACGGGTCAGCTCTTGGCTACTGGCTGGGGTCATGGTTCTAGAATATGGAATCTTGAATTTTTCAAATGTCAAGATCTGTTAAAGATTTTTAGTACTGGAGAAGATTGTACAGCTAGAATATGGAAGTATGATTCCGGAAACCCAAATTTGAGACTACTTGACGTTTCTGAGTGCCATTTAGGAAAGCATGTATGGTCTGGCGATTTAGATGACAGTACTTTGCAACTCAGTGTAACTGGAGGTGCTGATGGAAGAATAAGACTACATGATTTAACACTCTTGACTAACACTAGTAAAGATAGCTATACTTTGGAAACTATAGCAAAAGAAATAGGGATTGTTTTTGAAAAGAATGAAATCATCAAGCAATACTTTGAATTGCCTGAATTGAATTTGTTAATTGTATTGACCTCTAATGGAAAACTTTTAACTTTAAACCAGAAAAAGAAAAGCTGGGAACTCATTAAACTATCAAATGAAGAGGTCGATATGTTTCGAAATTTCGGATTGGTAAGAGGATTTATTGATATAAACGTTGTAATAATATGCTCAAGATCTGGTGATTTGTTAGTGCTCAAGTTTGATGCTAATTCACAAAAGCCGCTGTCAAAAACTTTGTTCCATGATGAGCACTTGAATGGTAACAAAGTGACCAACTTCATGACTTCATATGATAAGGAAAAAGATGATTTTTGTGTCCTTATTGATTGTCCAAACCCTAAAGTCCCTTTCATTCTTCGTAAATTCAAGTCTCAAAACAACACTTTAGTGTGTAATGGCATTATTCACTTAGAACAACCTGCTCAGACAAGTTTTACAACTACATGTATGACCTTTGATTCTGAAAATAAAATTTTGATTTTAGGATCACGATACGTTAGTTTTGCCATTTATGACTTGAATACTGATAAGGATTTGATACAATTGAATAGTCTTTTCAAGAAATTATCTAAAGGTGATACAATTACGTCTGTTTCCATTGTTCTGTCCCGAACTGATTGCATTCGTATTTTAATAACTGTAAGGGATGGAATATATATGTTGGTTGAATTAACTAAGAAGAATGACAGTTTTAGTTGTGAAGTGATTCATAGGAATAAGCTTTCAAAAGGATTTGTTGAAGGAGGTTTTCTTTATAATGATGAGTTAATTGTCTACGGGTTCAAGTCTTCTTACTTTTATATTTGGAATGAAACAAAACAAATGGAAATTGCAAGCGAATTATGTGGTGGTGCTCATAGACAATGGGAATTATTCAAATATAAAGATTTTATGTCAGAAATCAAATTTGTATACATAAGTAAATCAACTTTGCACATAAAAAGTTTCAGACAAAGATTCAATGATGGGAGCTATGGTCTAATCAATAACGGCACACATGGACGAGAAATTAGGGATATTGCGGTATCTCCACATATATCCTCTGATGATGGTAGTCGTTTGATATTGACAGCTTCTGAAGATACAACTATTAAATTAGGTAAATTATTTGCTAATGGGGAAATTAGAAATTACTGGAGCTTGAACGAACATATATCAGGGTTGCAAAGGATAAATTTCCTAAATGAAACGTTTGTCGGTAGCTCGGCTGCGAACGAAGAGTTTTTTGTCTGGAAGCTAAACAAATTGGATACTGGGATTCCAACTATTACAAAGTATGCAACTTTAAAACCAAGTCAAGCTAATCCTGATTTGCGTATTATGGACTTTGATTCATATCCATTTGCTAATGGCTTTATTGTTAGTACAGTTTATTCCGATTCAAATTTGAAAATTTGGTACTTTGATTGTATATCCGGCAAATTCCATCTAGTTGCTAATGATTTCTATACCACTTGCTGCATACTTAATGTAAACTTTCTTAAATTCAATGATGGTGCTAAAATTTATATAATGATAGGCACTACTGACGGCTGTTTGTCTATTTGGGACATATCTAAGATTTTGAATGATATAGACATTGAATCCCTTGAAGTTCAAAAATTAGGGACTATGATTATCAAACAACAATTACATCAAAATGGTATTAAGGCGGTTCTTAACTTGCCTGATATGCAAAATGGCTACAAAGTATTTACAGGTGGAGATGATAATTCTTTAATCTATTCATCCTTGCGCTTTGAAGGAGAAAATGAAGAATTAGTTCTTAAAACTAACTGTTTCATAGAAGAAGCTGCTTCTTCAACCATCACTTCGATTTCCTTTGGTGAACGCAATCGTATTGTTGTTACTTCAGTTGACCAAATTGTTCGACTTTGGGAGTTCGATGAATCGTCTTTAACTTGCAGTTCAGCGAGATACACAACTATAGCGGACACAGGATGTAGTGATACAACTAGATTTGATAACAAGAACATAGTAGTTGTTGGAGGTGCTGGATTAAGCTCTTGGAGTTTTTAATACTTACATAAATAGACTTCAAAATTAATATTTGCAAACTAGATATAAAGCTATAAATCAGTAGTATAATAAGCAAAGAGTAGACTAAAAGAAAAAAATCTAATATCTATTTTCTATTTAGATTCTCAATAATCTCAAATTGAAAGTAGTATCATTAATGGTTTGTTCTTCGTCGATGATAACCTTAGATTCATCGCTAGTGAATGGCTCTAATGGTCTTTTGGTTGACTTGACTAATATGTCTTCATGATCCTTGATAACGTTCTCAAAGTTAATAGTATCCTTGATTAATTTGTATTCAACCTTAATATCATCAGTAGTGTTCAAGCCTGCCTTTTTACGCAACCTTTGAACACGGTTAATTAATTCTCTAGCTAAACCTTCACTTTGCAATTCAGGATACATATTGACATCCAATATAATTAAAACATCTTGCTGAGATCTAGATTCTTGACCATTTGAAGCCTTTTCTGCTGGTAATCCACGTTGGACCTGTAAATCTTCAGTTACTAAGTCAATTCCATCCACAGTGATTTTACCTGTTTCAGCAAACTTTTGGACTTCTGCGGAAGAAACGCTTGGTAATGCTGCTTTCACTCTCTTCGCATCCTTCTTTAACTTTTTACCTAAAACAGGCCAGTCAGCAACAACGGTGTATTCAACACCATATTTAGCTTCATCTGAAGTAATGATCAAGTTTCTAACATTTAACTCATCTGTAATATATCCCTTCAATGATTCAACGTCTCTAAGATAACCCGGGTCAGAGTGTAATATAACTAATTCCTTCAAAGGTGTCTTTAAGGAAATAGTTTTCTTTTCTCTTATATTACGGCCTAAGTCGATAACCTTCTGCATTCTTGAAACAGCTACTTCAATATCAGTATCAAATAATTCTTCCTTTACCGATGGGTATGATAAGAAATGAACAGATCTTGTATCCTTCTTATCTGGATTGATACAATACTTCTGTAATTCTTCATTAGTGTAATATGGCTTCAACCTTTGGTAGATACCATCAGATAAGTAAGGAGTGAATGGCGCCATAGCTCTGCATAATGTCAATAAAGCTTCGGTTAATGTGTTAAGACCGACTCTAGTGTCATCGACTCCATCGTCCGAATAACCCTTAAGACGACGACGGTTGAAACGGATATACCAATTAGTCAATTCATCAATGAGAGATAATAATCTTGGGACAACAGTGTATAATCTGTATTCAGACATTTCGGCGTGAATATATTTAATCAATGATTGAATAGAGGCTAACAACCATCTGTCCATAACATTGGTCGATTTTAATGTAGAATCGTAAACAAAATCGACATTGTTTTCCTTTTTAAAGAGATCAGCGGCATCCTTTAAGAACTTGTAAGAATTATACCAAGGTAATAAAACACTAGAAACAACTTCTCTCACACCCTCTTCTTTAAACTTCAAAGTTTCCGCTCTCAAAACAGGAGAATTGATTAAGTATAATCTTAAAGCATCTGCACCATATTTCTCTAAAACAATAGAAGGATCAGGATAGTTCTTTAAACGTTTGGACATCTTCTTACCATCAGCTGCTAAAACAATACCAGATACGATGACGTTTTGATAAGGAGCAGTATTAAATAAATATGTACCTAACACCGTCAATGTGTAGAACCAACCTCTCGTTTGATCTAAACCTTCGGAAATAAAGTTTGCTGGGAAAGCCTTTAAAAACTTTTCCTTGTTTTCAAATGGATAGTGATTAGAGGAGTAAGGCATAGATCCAGATTCAAACCAACAGTCAAAAACTTCTTCAATTCTCTTTAATTGGCCCTTACCTTGTTTGGAAGGAATAGTAATTGAATCAATACTTTCACGATGGATATCAGTAATGTCATCGCGTCCGGATAATTCCTTCAATTCATCAATCGAACCAACACAGACGATTTCTTCAAAGTCATCACTTACCCACAATGGAATTGGAGTACCCCAGTAACGGTTTCTTGATATGTTCCAGTCTCTAGCATTGGCAATCCAGTTAGAGAATCTCTTTTCCTTAATGGTTGATGGAACCCATCTTGTTCTTTCAACATTTTTTAACATATCAGGAACAATGTTTGTGATACGAACGAACCAAGCTGGGACAGTTCTGTATAATAAAGGTGTGTCAGATCTCCAACAGAATGGGTACGAGTGCTTCAATTGGGTTGCAACTAAAAGTTTTCCTTCTTGTGTTAATCTCTTGATGATTAACTTGTCAGCATCCTTAACATAGACACCTGCAAAATCACTAACTTCATTAGTGAATTTACCATTGTCATCAACTGGGTTTGGTGGTTGCTTTTTCTCATCGATAATTCCAGCCTTTGTGGCGGCGTTGAAATCCTCTTCACCAAAAGCTGGTGATTGATGAACAATACCTGTACCTGATTCAGCAGTAACATAGTCAGCACAGATAACTTTGAACCCACGGTCCTTGAACGATTCATAGAAGTATGGAAACAATGGAGTATACTTGGTACCAGCTAAATCTTTACCCTTGATTTTTTCAACAACCTTGTACTTTGCAGCAGCAGGTTTCTTGTATAATGTAGACAATAAAGACTCTAATAAAATGAAGTTCTTTTGCTTTTCTTCGTCAAATATTTTGATATATTCAAACTCTGGATGAACAGCTAAAGCAATATTAGAAGGTAAGGTCCATGGGGTAGTGGTCCATGCAACTAACCAAGTATTTTCATCATCAACTAATGGAAAACCAACGGTAACAGCTGGATCATTGACTTCCTTATAGTTTTGTTGCGCTTCAAAATTGGACAAAGGAGTAGTTAAACCTGTAGAGTATGGCATAACCCTCAAACCCTTGTACACAGCATCTTTCTTGAATAATTCCTTGAACGCCCACCACACAGATTCCATAAATTCTGGGTACAAAGTCTTGTAATCATTATCCATATCAATCCATCTACCTAATCTGGTAATAGTCTTACGCCATTCATCCGCATATCTCATAACAATTGCACGACATTCGCTATTGTACTTGTCAATACCCATATTCATAACATCTTCCTTACCAGTAATACCCAATTTCTTGTCGATTTCGTGTTCCACTGGTAACCCATGGGTATCCCAACCAAATCTTCTCACAACATGATGCCCGTTCATAGTGGCATAACGTGGAATAATATCCTTAACAGTAGAAGCTAAGATATGACCATAATGTGGTGTACCTGTAGCAAATGGTGGACCATCAAAGAATGCAAATGGGGGAAGACCTTCAGTAAGTTCTAACGATCTTTGAAATGCATTTGACTCCTCCCATTGCTTAATGACATTTTCTTCCTCCCTAGGAAAGTTAAAAAATTGATTACTAGCTTCTTGATCACACATCACTTCAGCTCGATAACAATTTAAGAAGAATTTTCTTTAGCTATAGTTCTCTATAATTAGGAAATGATATATACTTAGGTGACTAATTGCACTTATACGTTGAAAAAAAATTCATCTTGATTATATAATCACACAAAATACTATAAGCATTAAATAGGATCAACTACATCTAGAGATAAATAACTATAGGAGCCAATGAGCCAATGATATCTAATAAGTTGTTTGGAGATGTGGTTGGGAGCTGTTTTAAAAACGGGACTTTTCCTGAAAGAATAGTTGTTGCTTTGTCAGGGGGAGTTGATTCATTGTGTCTCACATATTTATTGGGACAATTCAAAAGAACATACAAACCAAACTTGCAGATCACAGCCATCACCATTGACCACAAGTACCGGTCAGGTTCAAGACAAGAGGCAGAGAATGTTGGTTTAGTAGTGCGACCATGGGGAGTGGATCACATAGTCAAGACATTGGAGTATGAAGACCGAGATATTGCAGAGATAACGAACTTCGAAGAGGTAGCACGGGAGAAAAGATACGACGTATTTGAGCAAATTTGCCGAGAATTGAATGTTAAGAGTTTGTTTGTAGCTCATAACTTGAACGACCAGATTGAGACGTTCTTGCAGAGGTTGCAGCAGAATTCGTCGCTATTTGGTTTGGTAGGGTTGCGGGCAGTCGACTATCTTCCAAGAGTTCCCAGAACTCCAACTGTAAACAATGATTCAATACATATTGTACGACCCTTACTCTCTTTTGATAAGTCAGAGATTATTAAGACATGTACAGAGAATAATATTGAGTGGTTTGAAGACCACACCAATAGCGACATCCGGCTCACTAAGCGAAATCTTTTGCGGCATCTTGTTTCCAATGTTATACCCTCTAAGCTAAGCAACAAAGATATTCTGTTAGAGGAGCGTAACGCGTTACTCCTTGTAAGCAAAGAATCATTGGTGGAAACGCATAACGAAGTTCGTTCGGTGGTCCACGATATGCAACGCCAGATTGCATATCTAGAGGGTTACTTAAAAGAACATGACCTCTTTAAGTTTGACAAGAGGAATCTTCTGTTGGATATATGCCTTCCATTTGACGTTTTAGATACATACAATCCTATGGTGCTAAGTCGATTCTTTTACCAGAATATGTATCCCATTTCATCAGTAAAACATTATCATTGGTCATATGCGAAACTAGAAAGGCATGCGATACCAAAGATTCTAAAATTTTATAATACGAAGAAAATTAATACAGCAGACACGATGAAATTGACTTATCTAAATGTCTTGCTTAGTATCACTTTAGACACTGCCAACAAGCAAATGCAAATATTGCTAACAAGACAGCCATTGATACATAATGACTTCTCACAGGTTTGCTTCAATTGCACACTTACCAGTCAGTGGTCCGATTGGCTTAATTTTGATAGACGATACTGGATCAAGATGAAGCTGCAAACCTCAAACATCAACGTTTCTATCCAACCCTACAGACATAATGACGTTGCATTCAGAAAGCAACTTCTTTCAGCATTCAAAGGTTCAGATAGTAAGCCATTCCTAACGCACTTACACGAGGGAATCCCTCTTATTACTGCATACCATAACTCTAAACCTTTTTTTGCCTTGCCTACTTACAATATCTACTCCCAGGCGGATGTAATAGACTTAGAATGGCTTCCAAAGACCAACTTGTATAGTTTATAGATTTTTTACATGCAGGAATAATCACCAAAATTTTGAGCCATAAACAAATAGACAAGACTGAATAAGTAGTTCAACACTAAGACAGCATCAAATAATCTAATAGTGAAGGTTTATTAGTAATTGAATCTAAGTTATTTGAAAGTCTGTGGCCACTAAAGTATGAAGATGCCAACAACTTCTCATGCAGATATGATTCATACCTTAGGAACGCCCAGGCTCAGTGGACAAGCGATTACACCGAAGACATATAGAGCATCGAAGTCTTCTAGGTATGTTAATCATCTGAGCCAATCAATAAGGATAGCACATCAAAGGGTTAATATTGATGTGGACTTAACGCAGAATAAATTGGAAGGGTTTACTGAGCTTACGGTAGTTCCTACGATGGGAAGTTTAAAATCTATTAAATTAGATTGCAGAGAAATGAAGATTAAAGATGTTTACATTAATAATACTAGAAACACCAATTATATATACAGGGATGTTCTTTACATTAATGATGATAAATATTTTGAGGAATCGCTCAGTAATAAATCAGTGAATCTATTTGATATGTACTCTGATAATTTAACTATACACCAACATCATTTGATAAGACAGAAGCTTAATTACGTATTTGGAGAGATTAATAATGATCCTAGAGAACTTCCTAAAGAATTACATAATGGCAATACAGAAGAATTGTTAATCTTTCTTCCGGATAATTTGAAATTGGAATTGGCGGATGCTAATGCATTCACTACGCCAGAGAGTCAAGCAGTGACTCCTCGTTATCTCAAGTCCAAGAATACCATGGGTGAATCGCAACATTCATTTACTGTAAAAATTGAGTTTGAATGTATTAACCCAAAGAACGGTTTGAACTTCATAACTGACAAAAAGTCAGATAAGAAATATTGGCATGCATATACTGTAAACTCAGACTATAATATTTCTACTTCTTCTTGGGTTCCATGCATTGATAACCTATGGGATAGGTGTACTTGGTCTCTTGAGATCAATATTCCAAGGACGATCAAAGATATAGGAAATCCCAGAATAATAGGTTCAGAAAATAATAAATCACTGACTAAGGAAAATGGGACATCTCAACGTATAAATAAGGATGTACGTAATGGGGGTAGTGATGATGCTGAAGATAATACTGGTGATATAGAGCATGATGAAGACAACGTGGAAGACGACGAAGACGATAATGAGAATTACGATTTAGTCATTTGTACTGGTGATTTTAATAATGTCAAAGAAACTCCGCATCCAATAGATAGTTCAAAGAAAGTAGTATCTTGGTCAATTTTCAATCCAGTATGTGCACATCATGTCGGTTGGGCTTTGGGGTCATTTCAAAGCATTGTTTTATCTACTCCCACGCAAGATGGAGATGAAGAGATAAAAGACGAGGTTGAATTCGAAGATATTGAAAAGGTTACTGATAACTCACCTGTTACTATATATTTCTTGGTGGGTCAGGCGGATATGGCAAGAAATACGTGCATTCTAGCTAACAAAGCTATAGATTTTTTTCTGAAAGAATTTGGTTCATTTCCATTTAGTTCTTACGCAATGGTTTTTGTTCAAAATAATGCTTCAGAATCAAACAATTTTGCAGGCCTTTCTCTTATAAGTGATTCACTTTTGTACCCATCTGATTTAATTGAACCGATGATCTCTACCACGGATACTATACTAGAAGGTATGGCAAGTCAATGGTCAGGTATTAATATTGTTCCATTATCCTTCAATGATTATTGGTGTACTATTGGTATTGCAAGGTATATGGCCCTCCAATTTATCAGGGTTTTGATGGGTAAAAACGAATACAGATTTAAAATTAAGAAGAAGATGAATGAAATTGTCGAGAAAGATATAGGCAAAAAGCCTTTAGCTTTACAGTTTTTCAGATTTCCTATTTCTGACCTCGACCTAGATTTTCTAAGGTTAAAAGCACCTATAGTTTTATACATTCTTGATAAGAGGATGACTAAAACAGACAAATCTTTTGGACTTTCTAGAGTACTTCCAAAGCTTTTCTTGCAAGCCATGTCGGGGGATTTACAAAATGGTGCATTATCAACTCAACATTTTCAATATGTTTGTGAAAAAGTGAACCGGAACAAGCTAGATACTTTCTTCAAACAGTGGGTTTTCGGATCTGGAGTACCGATATTTAATATATCTCAAAAATTCAATAAAAAACGCTCCATGATAGAAATGAGTATAAGGCAAGTGCAACAACTGGATACAAAAAAATTACATCCAAACCCTGAATCGTTTATAAATGACTCAATAGCACATTTAGATGATGAGCCATCGTTCCTGATTCAACCAGTATTTACTGGTCCAATGACCATTAGAATCCATGAAGCTGACGGTACTCCTTATGAACATATTGTTGATTTGAAAGATGGACACGTTAAACTTGACATTCAATATAACACAAAGTTTAAACGATTAAAGAAGAATAGAGAAGATCTTAACGAGCCCAATACAACATTTAGTAAGTTAGGTGATGTATTAACAACTCCAGAAGAAATGGATGAATGGGGATTGAATGAATGGGTAAAACGAGACGAAGACATGCTCTATAATGATGCATTTGAGTGGATTAGAGTTGATGCAGATTATGAATGGATAGCTCAAATCAACGTTAAACAACCTGATTATATGTTTGGCTCCCAATTACAATATGATAGGGATGTTGAAGCTCAATATGAAGCTGTAAGGTATTTTGGTGATAGAGAGAAGCCGAATACTTTATATTGCACAGCATTAACGCGTACTGTAATGGATGATAGGTATTATTATGGACTCAGAATAGCAGCTGCCCAGGCTTTGGCAGATATATCGAAACCTGATAATAATTTTATTGGAATTGGTTATCTCATAAAGATTTTCAAGGAGCTCTTCTGCTTTCCTGGAAGTTCAATTCCACTAAGCAATGATTTTAATAATTTCAACCGTTTCTTCTTACAAAAGCAAATTCCCCAAATTCTAAGTAATGTTAGAGATGAAAATGGGGAAGTACCATTTGTAATTAGAAACCTTTTATTAAACCTTGTTAAATTCAATGAAAACTCTAATAACACTTTTCAAGACTGTTTCTACATGTCAGATTTAATAACTTCTTTGACTACGAGTGCTCTAAATGCAAATAGTGCTCTTACATCCCAGGATCCATTAAATTTGTTAGACAAGAGTGACTCAATAAATTCTGAAAAGCAAAAGTTCTTGCAGGATGTTATAACAGAAATAAACAGGCTTCAAAAATTAGATGAATGGGTACCTTCTTACCAATCTATTATTGCAATCACATGTATAAAACAAAAAGTCAGACTTGCTACACATGGTCTTCTACAATTAACATTTGAAGATTTGTTATATTATACTTTGGATAAGTATCCATTTGAAGTACGAATTGAAGCATTTCGTGGATTGCTTATTTTGGGGGGGTTGAAAAATGCAAGTATCTTACAATACTACTTGAAAGTTTGTTTGCTTGATGCAATCACACCATACTTCCGAGGAAAGTTAATTGACACATTGATTAATGCTATATGTATTGCTGCTATTGATGGTACCCCTTCAACGTTAGATGATCCAGAATTCAAAACTCTTGAAAAGTTATTTGATGAAAATTCTAAAATGGCCAACAACCAGACAAATATGGTTATTATTGAAGACGGTTCAAATAATGAGTTAAACTCGAGAAGAGATACGTTTGCACGAGCCACCTTAAATGGTGCTATAGAATTACTTAGACGTGATTATTCAATAGGTAAGGGGTTAAAGAATCTATTCTGGGAATTATTACACACTTCATTATTAAGTATTTATGAGAGAAGAAACATATTTAACGTTTGTCAGGTTCTATACAAAGAAATTGATTCGTTTATTGCTAGAGTACCTGTTCCTAGTGTTCCGTTGAGTGAATTAAAGAAGAAAATTGTGCTTAGGAATATGGGTGATGGTAAGGTAGTTATAAAAAGAGAAGGAAGATTTAAAATACAATTGGCATCGCGAAGATTAACTATTCAAGAGCCAGCTAAATCAAAAGTGGCACAAGAAAAAGCTAAATCTAAACCTCTGGAGCCACCTGTGGTTGTGGACAATGCCCAAGAGCCAAAATTGAAATTAAAACTAGGCAATGCTTCCACGACCGTGGAACCGAAGAAAGAGGCTCCTCGAACCAATAAGAGAGGGTCCCTCGATACTAAACATGTTATCGTCGATCCTAAACTTGTTACCATCGATCCTCATAACAAATCAAAGGTCACAATCAAATTTAAGAAACACACTTTGCCTAACTCTTCAGTGTTTGATTTTCCTACTCAAGCTCCTAATCCTCCTCCCAGCTTGGTCAAAATCCAGGGATCTACCGTTAAATTAAAATTTTCAAAGGATAAGAGCTCTAAAATAAGAGATATTTTGAATAATACATCTTCGAAACCCAGATATGTTAAGATTTTGACTAAGGAAAAGAGAATTTTTGTATCACCTGTACCATTCTCCTCAACAAATCCAAGTATAGCTACTAAGGGCGACCTGAACGGTAAACTTAAAGATGGTAACGGAAGTCCATCTAAAAGTAAGAAATCAGTATCTCCAGTCCTGAGAAATAGCAAATCTAATGATGAATCCATGAAAAATACATTGAAAAATGATAAATCAAAAGAGCATTCTGCTGAAAACTCATCTGAACCAGATGAAAAGAAACAAAAATTGAAAATCCCTTTAAAACGAGAGTTTAAGGAACTGTCTGAACCTATGTCTAAGCCAGTAGAACGTTCGGTTTCTCCATTTTCAAGATCAGCAAGTCCGTTCAGTCCTGCCCCACCGCTGCATAGACCAAATAAGAAAACTAAGATTTACATTCATCCTAGCGATGAAAAGAGTGCATCTAGTTCTATGCAAAACGAGCCACAGGTTGCTAATATGGATGTCCTGGATTCAACTGAACATAAAGCTCCTGATGATTCCTCAGATGTTAAGTCTAAGAAATCAACTTCCAAACCTGGTATCAAACTCAAGTTAAGTTTGAAACGTTAATAGCATATATATTGTATATTTAGTATAATGTATTGAAGGAATAATTTTTATAGTATGTACTCACGTGCAACCAATATTGTTATCAACAAAACCTAACTTGATTTTATGAAGAACTGAATAAAAGAAGGTTATTCTATTATAGTAACATAAATGAGTAGGAAGAGATAAGATCAATGTCCTTTACTAATCACCTAGCATTTAATATTTCGAAAGCGACGCCAACCACGTCAACTACAAATACTCATACAACATCAACCCCTCCAGCTTCGAATGAGGGAACCAATTCGGGCGGAACAAACAACACCAATTCCAAGTCTCCCTTCTTGCAGAACATATTATCAAAATCAACACCTTCAGCAGGTAATATATCTCCACAGCTTGGCTCAGGGAGCACGGTCACGCCTACATTTGTAAATATAGGTGATGAGGGAGCGCATGGTAGCTCAACTAAAGATAGCCAAGCAGGTAATAATAAAACCGACTTGATTGATTTACTTGGTAAATACGATATTAGTAATAAAAGGGAAAGTGAAGAAGATGATTCTCAAGATGATGAAGAAGCAAAAGTTGATATTAACCATGAGGAAGAAACAAAAGTTGATCACCATAATGAAAAGACGCATGAAGAGGCTGATAATGAACTAACTGAGGCGTCAGTTAAGAAAGTGGTAGAAAAAGAAGAATCTTCAACACCAATTGAATCGAAAGATCCACAGGACGATGGATCCACGTCAGAAATGATTGAGAAGCAGCCAGTTAATAAGCCAGCGCATGAAGGTGCAATTCAAAATATACACGATAAGAATAACACGAGTACTGAAACTAATGCCAATACTGATGTTGAAACTAAGACCTATCGGAAGATTGATAATAATACTGAAATGAAAGCTGACACTAATGCTGAAACTAATGCTGAAACTAATGCTGAAACTAATGTTGAAATGAAAGCTGACACTAATGCTGAAACTAATGCTGAAACGAATGCTGAAACTAATGCTAAGACTAATGCTGAAATTAATAGTAAGTCTATTATTAACTCTGATCTTGGTTTAGAGACTGACGAAAGTACAAAAAATAAAGTTGACACTAGTATTGACACTAATATTGAACCTAAATCTAAAACTAATATTGAAACTAATGATCGTACTAATGTCAGCGCCGATACTAATGTTAATACTAGCTTAGAACCCTATGAAAAAGACAGCGAAGTACATAATGATCGTGACTTGACAGATATAACTGGGAACCCCAACGATGAGGAATCAGTTGCTGAAGAATATAGTTTAAATGAAAATGTATCTACTCCTATAGACTCTGAACAAGAGGACAATCTTGAAACGGAAGAAGCATATAAAGACGTTTTAGACACTCAACATCGATCAGGTAAATCAAAGAAGAATCAGCCTTTAATTAGTTCTGCAGAGCAATATCAACAGTCACATAAACCATTTGACTTCCAACAGTTTTTGAATCATCTAAAGAAAAAAAGCGCAGACCCTATTGTGCGTTATATTCGTTCATTTTTAGTCTCATTTAGCAGACAAGGTCATACATTTACATCCGACCAAAAAATTAAGATTATTAGAGATTTTAAAGAGTTCATGAATGAGAAGTTTTCTTTGTATGAACCGTTTGCGTCAATGGATGACATAGATTTGGAGAACTCCAGAGAGGGTCTAGAGAAATTGATAATGAATAGGTTATATGAACATTGCTTCCCTCCTGAAGTAGCGGCTCAGTCGCCAAATTTCATATCAGAATCAATTCAAGAAGATCTTCAGAATGATGAAAGGTTCCTTAAGCAGCTCGAAAAGTTCAATTGGATTAATGGAACTCATCTTGACATCGACCTAGACTATTTAACAAAACTCAAATCAAAGACGAACAAAGATAACTTGAATTTCATTGATTTTGCAATTACAGAATTAAACAAAATTAATAATTATAGAGCACCTAGAGACAAGATTATCTGTATCTTGAATTCATGTAAAATAATATTCAGTTTCTTAAGAGTGAGCAAACGTGAAACCAATGCAGATTCATTTATCCCATTATTGATTTTAGTTATTATCAAAGCGAAGACTGATAGTTTGATAAGTAACATGCATTACATAGAACATTTTAGGAATGAGGAGTGGTTATCACATGGTGAGACTAGCTATTATTTATCTTCTTTACAAGGAGCAATTGGCTTTATACAAAATTTGTCTTCTGATGATCTAACTATTGATCAAGCTGAGTACAATGCTCATATGGAAGCTTGGGAAGCTGAAGAAAAGCAGAGAAATTCTATGAAGCCTATAGTGATGCCAGTGCCCAAAAGAAAAGAGTCTGGCCTTGAAGAATTTCAGAACCTTACTCCCTCTAAAGCAGGCTTATCACCTTCGAATGTCTTGATGACAAGTGCAGAGATGTTTACAAAATCACTTTCGAATTTCTTATCTCCATCGCCACAAGAATCCCCTCGTCCAGATGATACACGCACTGCTAATGGGGATCAGTGGAGTTCTGAACAGCAACCTCAAGCTCAACGTCAGCCTCAAGATCAAACACAATCGCAAGAAAATTCTGCTGCTATGAAAGAAACCTACAAAAGTTTGAGGGAAGTATTTCCAAACCTTGATAAAGCAGTATTGAAAGATGTAGTATTTATGAATCAAGGTAAGCTTGAAGAGTCACTCGACGCTTGTCTACAATTAGTCAACGACGTTTAATGATATATATATATGTGTGTATGAATAATCTATAGATAAATCCACATGAATACTAGAATTTGCGGCTTATCATAAAAAAAAAAGAGGACTCCTCATCAGGGGCTCGAACCCTGGACATTTCGGTCGACTCTTTGACAGAAATCTTTAATCCTTAAAAGCCGAACGCTCTACCAACTGAGCTAATAAGGATTGTCCTTGAATTTTCGAAATCCCCCAAGCAGTACTTATCTAGTTTATTAAAATGTATCTACTTGATGCCTATAATATAAGTAGATATAGAGAGAAATAA